AGCTGTGGAACGCCTACCACAAGGGGAAGGAGGCAAACGGCTGCTCCAGTGCTGCGCCCATGAGCTGCCGGTTCTACAAAGAGCTGGATGCGATACTCGGTGGCGACCCCACCTCCACTGCAAAGGCCCCTGTGAATACTTCGTTGGCTCACATGCCAGTCGAGAGCGGAGCAAGCCAGGAGGAGGAAATCTTGGACGAACAGGAGTCCCCTGGTAAGTGGATCTGATTTTGGGAATTGCTGAAGCAATCTGTTGGGGGCAGGAGGGTTGCAGAAATCAGGCTGGTCTCCCATTGCATGCCTACAGACTCACTCACTTCACAGGAATCTCCCTCAGAAGTCTCCAGGAAACTCTCGTGGATATACTGGGCAATCCACTGCAGCAGGTTCCTTGGCAGAGCTGCTTTATTTCTTGCCCCATTAATGGTAACTTTCACGCACCACTGTGCCATCACGGGGGGTGGGGAGGGAGGGAAGAGAGACCATTGCTGTGCACAGGCGACCTGCATAGGGGCCAGAATGGAAGCCACAGGCTTAGAGAAGACCCTCCCTTGATTCCCTGCTCACCCCCAGCAGCGAGATATCTTCCATAATGATCACATCTTGTGGAAAGTGTGGAGACAGGAATGATTATGAAGCCCCCCCTACTGTGCTGGCTCTCCCCAAGAGCCACATGCCCACTGTACAGCAGGGTCCAGGAAGAGTGATTCATCCTGCCTTTGCGGCTACTCACCATTTTGGGGGTCTTGTGGCTCATGTGTGCTTGTCTGGGGTCAGCCAGTTAGTGACAGGTGTGAGAGTACTGGCTGAGTTTTAAAGCACTGAATCAGTGTTGTCTGTGTTGCAAACAATACTGCTTCTGTAAAATGTTGCATTTAAACTTCACAGAGATGACCTTGGGAGGCCAGCCTCCCTTATCGGCAGCAGAACGGCTGCGCAGAATCAGAAAGCAGCTACGAAGAACTAAGGAGGACTTTCTCCATGAGGTTATGATGCACTCCACCGCTGAGAAACAGGAATTGAAGGAGTGGCGGGACAGCAAGAAGAGGGACCAAAAGGAGAACACGGCACACCAGAAAGAAGCCATGGAGCGGCTCTTAAACATTATGGAGCACCAAGTGGACACGGTCCAGGCGGTACTAGCTCTTCAAACCGAGCAGCTCCGCGCCCGCCCTCCCCTGCAGCCTCTGTCACAAAACTCTTTCCCATGTGCCCCCACACACCTCCTGGCTCCACTCTCTACCCGCAGCATTCCACTCCTCCCTCCTCACAGTCCAGCAGTGTGAACTCCCACTACCCACTGCACTCAACACCCATCCCTCTACAGTTTGGCCCTGCTGAAGTACAGCACCCGCTGCATTGTACTCCAAAGGAGAAGGCTGGGTATGATCCCTGGACATACACAAATCTGTAGCCATTCCAGGACCCCTCCTCCTCTTGATACCTTCCCTTCCACCATCCCTGCTGATGAATTTTTTCATTTGACTCTCTCTTCCAGTTGTTGTCTTTTAATAAAAGAATTGTGTTTGTTTGAAAGCAACCTTTATTCTATTAAGTGAAAGCAAAAAGAGCACTGCAAAGCAACATACAATTATGTTAAGGCCCCTTCTTGCATCATGTGCACCAATCATCTCCTAGCATTACAAGCACTGCAATCCCGAGCATAGCAACAAATATTACTGGCTTTCAGCTTCAAATTGCTGCCTCAAGGCATCCTTGATCCTTATGGCACCACGCTGTGCCTCGCTAATAGGCCTGGTCTCTGGCTGTTCAAACTCAACCTCCAGGCGCTGATCCTCTGCGGTCCAGCCCTGAGTGAAGCTCACTCTTCCCTTCACAAATATAATGGAGCGTACAGCACGCAGCTATAAGCACAGGAATATTGTCATTGGCCATGTCCAGTTTCCCATATAGGCATCGCCAGCAGCCTTTTAAACGGCCAAATTCACACTCAACAGTTATTCTGCACTTGCTCAGCCTGTTGTTGAACCGCTCCTTGCTGCTGTCAAGTTGCCCCATGTACAGCTTCATAAGCCACAGTATTAAGGGGTAGGCAGGGTCTCCAAGGATCACAATGGAGATTTTAACTTCCCCTACAGTGATCTTCTGGTCCAGGAAGAAAGTCCCTGCTTGCAGGTTCCTGAACAGGCCAGGGTTCTGGAAAGATGCACAACGCGCGCATCTTTCAGATCAGCCTGAGTTAATGTCCATGAAACATCCACAGTGATCCACAAGCGCCTGGAGAACCATTGAGAAATACCCCTTGCGATTAATATACTCAGTGGCTAGGTGGTCTGGTGCCAGAATTGGAATGCACGTGCCATCTATCGCCCCTCAGCAGTTAGGAAAGCCCATTTGTGCAAAGCCATCCACCATGTCATGCAGGTTGTCCAGAGTCACGGTCTTTTGCAGCAGGATGCGATTAATGGCCCTGCACACTTCCATCAACACGAGTCCAACGGTCGACTTTTCCACTCTGAACTGGTTAGCAACTGATTGGTAGCAGTCTGGAGTAGCCAACTTCCACAGTGCAATCGCCACACACTTCTCCAACGACAGGGGAGCTCTCATTCTCGTGTCCTTGTGCCGCAGGGCTGGAGCGAGCTCATCACACAGTCCCATTAATGTGGCTTTCCTCATGTGAAAGTTCTGCAGCCACTGCTCGTCATCCCAGATGTGCATCACGATGTGACCCCATCACTCAGTGCTTGTTTCCCAAGCCCAAAAGCAGAGTTCCACTATGGTCAGCACCTCTGTGAAAGCCACAAGCAATCTCATGTCATAGCTACTACGTGTGGTGAGATCAACGTCGCACTCCTCTTGACTTTTTAGTTTAAGGAATAACTCCACTGCCACTTGTGACGTGTTGGGCAGAGCAAGCAGCATACTGGTCAGCAGTTCGGGATCCATTCTGCAGCCTGAAAGAGGTAGGGCGCGCAGTACACAAACCATTGAAAGATGGTGCCAAATGCGGACAGAAGCACAGGGTTTGCTGGGATGCTAAACACAGCTCAGATGTGAGGACCTCCAGAATAGGACACCAACCCCTTTCTTCTCTGGGGTGAGAAAATAAGTCTAAGTAGGCACTGGAGAGGGTGATCTACAACTCTGGAGCAGTGCTCCTTCCTACCCATCAGAAGTTCTTGAAGCCTGAATGGAGGCAGATAACGGAGGCCTCTTGGTCAACACAGCCCAGGAGCTTAGGATGGAATGTCACCTACCCAGGGTGCTCATAGAAAGGGACTGACCACAAGACTGAGTTCTAGCTGTGTCCTTCCTTTCTATGTCCAAGGAGGCTTGCATAGCCACTCCAGAAGAAACATTTTAGGCCGGCTTCTCTAGCTTTTTCAGTCTGCTTAGAGAAGGATCGACATATGGTACATTGCTCAGGAATATGTTCCTCTCCTAAACAACATAGGCACCAAGAGTACCTGTCATTAAGTGGCTCTGAAACCTCATGCAAGCAGAAAGATTCTAACCTTAAACCTAGAACCTGACTAAAGTTTTAAAAAATTGCTGCATGCTGCCAATAAGCAACAAGACAAACTACCCACCTACCCCACACCTAACCCTTACCTACCACCTAGCTCAGGGTGCAGCACAGGGGTCAGCACCACCATGTTGCACGATGGACACTTGACAAAATTACTACACTTAGTGACAGACGGGGGGGCGTTTATGTCATTCAATTTTTTGAAAAATTACCACGGACATGTTGCTGACCCCTGGTGCACAAAGCAGGCAGACATTGCAAGGGTTCTGTCTTGCTGCCACAGGCAGGAAGAAGAAAATGAGGGATGATTTGGTCCACTCTGCTCTCTATGCCTGGGGTGGGAGGGCAAGAACATCTTGGGCTGCACCAATGCCCTTACAAACACCGTTGGCCAAAAGAAGCAGATCTTGCACACATGAGGCACACGTACACCAAGAGTAAAAATATCCAGACAATCACGCAAAGAAAAACTGCCAATTTCTACATTTCTAAGTGAGGTCACTCTTCTTGCTTTTTTTTAGTAAAACCGGCTGAAGTCTGCACAGCAATTTAAAGCTTTGTACATTTGCTCTAAACGTCAGGATTTTACTAATGCAGAATAACCTGAAAGTTGAGTGTATCTTAACTGAAATAGAAAGGCGTTTTCTAACCCTATTATCTGTGAAATATTTTCAGTTTACGTTTTGGGTGGGCGGGGGAGGGGCGGAAGAGGGGAGGAGAAAAGGAGAAGTAAAGAGAAGAAACAGATTATAGTCAGTTGTTTCTACAGCAACCCCACAATTTTTAAATTTTGAAAGGCTGCCTCAAACTACTCAGCAACCATAATTCTGACCCAGCAATAAAGACCTAGATGCCAACGCTAACCTTTCAGGGAGCACTGTCAGATCACTGTGGAAAGGACACTCAAAATTGCCAAGCTGTGTGGTTTGATGTCACAAATTCATTTGAAGAAGGTGCAAAAAGTTGGACTTAAGAAAACAGATTTCAAGATTTCCCCACCTTCAAATCAAGAGAACACTGTGTCTTTAATCAGGAAATGAAAAATAATTTTGCAAGATCTCCAAGAGAGACATGAAAGTATAAAACAAAGTGGTCACATCTGGATACCTGAAGCTCCAGCAATGCAAAATACATTAACATTCTTAATTACTGTATATTCCTGTGTATTAACCAACTCTCATAAGTTATCTTTGTGATATTTGTTCAGTGAAACAGAAGTTATTTTAAATACATAATTCTGATACTAACATCTATGCTCCTTATAAGATCCACACTTGTAGGTCTTAGATGAGCAAATGAGGTCTATTTACGAGTGAGCTGTTTGGGAACCTGCTCTATGATCTGAAGGAGGACCAGAGGCTTCCCTCTTCCCTTGTTTTGAGTCTTATATGAACGTCCATTCCAGAAGTTCCCTTGAAATTTTGTCAGTTTATACACCAGTATATACAGTAAATTCTACATTACCTGAAACTAAACTTATCTGAAATCAGACTGAACCTCTTTCTTACCTCAACAGCAAGTACTTCCACAGTGTTGTCCAACAGTTTTATTTTGATCAGTAGATCCCTCTCATGCATTTTGGCAGGTGTCATTGCCATTGCTGTAGAAAGGTTCTGCTCTGGCTCCAGCGTACTCACTCCGGCATTCTTCTGGAGTCCCAAACGAGAACCAGGAGTCTGCAGTATTCTGTACGTTCCTTCTATCTCCCCCATTATTCAGCAACAATGTCCAAATACCTAAAGGAGAATATAGAGAATAATGCCTAAGAAAAAAATAGATATTTTTCATTAAATGACATTTCAAAATGAAGATTCTACAAACAAAGCATAATTCTACATTAAAAAATTATACATGGAGTCCTAGGTACTTCTTTGTTCAACTACCAAAATAATCAAATTTCAATATTTAAAAAATAAAATTGATCAAAATGAGTTTGAAAAAGCCAACTACCAGGGAAGAAAAAAAAAAAAAAAAACAGACAAAAAACAAGCAGTAACAAACCAAAAACAGTCAATCAGAAATATGGACAGGAAACAGGAAAGTATGGGCAGAGAACATGGGAGCAAGTAGTGAGAAGAAACTTGAACAGGGAATGACTAGCACCGAGTCTAAATTATTCCAACCAGTGCTGGCAGCTAGAAAGCCTCATGATGTAGGATTCTGAAACAGATAACAGTTCCAAATTATTAGGGAGTCAGCATGCCAACCAGATTAAGTCAAGTATGCAAAAATATCAGTTACGGTTGAAAATGTTGCCGTTCAATTAGTACACCCAATACAAAGTGCTCATCACTAACATTTTGCTTGAAAATATGGCAAGAAGAAGAAAAACTACACTTCAAGTTATGACATGAATAAAAGAAAAAAAAAAAAAACTTCAAGTTTGTTGTTTGCACTCTGGCCCAGATCATCAGGACCAGCCACTTTGTGCCCACTGCAGTTTGGGGAAAGGGACATGGAAAAGGTGACTTAGCATCACTTTTGGAGATCTGTGGATTGACAGTCCTGTCACAAAGAAGTAACTTAGACAGTAGTTTTGTGTCTGCTCTAAATTGCACCATCTACAATGGGCCCAAGGGACAGTTTTAGCATCTAGGAATTGTTTAAGCACAAAGGACTAGCCATGCTCCCTTTTCCTCAGCCACATCCCCTGCACTAGAGGTTCCAATGAATGTGGGGGTATCTGGCTATCTGCTACACCAGCTCTACATCACGGCAGGACTCCTCTACACAAAGGGATTCCTCAGCAGGCCACTTGTGCCAACTTTACGTTTCCTTTACACCACCAGAGCAGCACAAAGAAAAACTTAGTGGGGCCAAGGATCCAGCCTGTGCCTTTAAATAGCAGCATCATAAATGGGTACCGCAGGATTCCCCATATAACATGTCATCTTACAAGCCACTGTGAAGAATGCTACACTTTTTAGCTGTCTCTTGCAGCGCTGATTTTCTCAATTTCACATAGAAACTGCACAACCTCAACTACACAGAAACCGTACTTTTAGCTCTCTCCATTCAGCTACCACATAAGAGAACATACATTAAAAATTAAGCCCGACATTCAATTTGTTTGTTTTGTAATAAACATGCTTTTTCTTTAAAAAAAATCATATCCATTTATTTCTAATGCACTCTTCACTATAGACAGATTTTGAAAAAAAATCTACTTGTCCACATACTCTGGGCAAGTGGGAAGCTTGCACTATAGAGTTAAGGGACATACATTCATACCAAAAAAAAAAAAGTTTTCATTTAAAAAAAAAAACAACAAGTGGTCAGACCTTATGCAAAGACAGCCTTCAATGCAAATTGGTCAACTGTTGTCTTACTGAGCCTGTAGGCAGGCAGCTCCTGTACCTCTCCTGCTCAAAGGTGTGACAAGCAACAAGAATTAGAGGGACAGTGGCAAAAAAAAAAACCAGAAATTATTTGCCTACTAGTTACCTAAAATTACTATCACTAAGATTAGAGAAAAAATATGTTTCCCCACAGTTTACTTTGGGTGTGTGTGTATATATACCTCTACCCCGATATAACACGAATTCAGATATAACGCGGTAAAGCAGTGCTCCGGGAGGGCGGGGCTGTGCACTCCGGTGGATCAAAGTAAGTTCGATATAACGCGGTTTTACCTATAACACGGTAAGATTTTTTGGCTTCCAAGGACAGCATTATATCGAGGTAGAGGTGTATGTATGTGTGTGTATATATATATATATATATATACACACACACACACACGATTTTGTATTTATTTTCACACTATATACTATTTCCCCTGCTTGTATGGTTATTTCCACACAGCAAGAGGAAAACGAAAAATCTTTAAAATAATAAAGTGTGGTTCTAAAAACCCCAAAAATTGACAGGGGGACTCAGGGGGAAGTGCAACATCTGAAACTATTAACTTTTTTAAAGTGACTGGATTTCAAAATGACATGTCCCTTTAAACCAGGGGTCTCAAACTCAAATGACCACGAGGGCCACATGAGGACTAGTGCATTGACCCGAGGGCCGCATCACTGACACACACACCCCCTTGCTGCCTCTGGCCCCGCCCCACTCCACCCCTACCATTAGGCCCCGCCCTTGCCCCACCTCTTCCCTGCCCCATTCCAACTCCTTCCCCAAAGTCCCCACCCCTAACACTGCCCCCAAGGAGTGCAGAAAGGGTGCAGGGTGCGGCAGGGGCTCAGGGCAGGGGGTTGAGGTGCAGGTGGTGTGCAGGGTGCAGCAGGGGCTCAGGGCAGGGAGTTTGTGTGTGGGGTGCAAGAGGGTGAGGGGTGCGGCAGGGGGTCAGGGTGCAGCAGGTGGCTCGGGCAGGGAGTGCAGGGGGTGCGGGATGTGGCAGGGGGTTCAGGGCAGGGAGTTGGGGTGCAGGAGGGGTTCAGAGTGCGAGCTCCAACCCGGCGCCACTTACCTAGAGCGGCTCCGGGGTGGCAGCAGCGCGCACCGGGGCTGGAGCCTGCCCTGGCCCCCGACCCCACGCTACTCTGTTCCAGGAAGCAGATGGAACCATGTCCCTGCAGCCCTGGGGGAGAGGGAGGGGCTCAGGGTTCGGTGCATGTGCTGCTCTTGCCGCTCCTCTAGGTACCTCCCACAAAGCTCCCATTGGCCGCGGTTCCCTGTTCCCAGCCAATGGGAGCTGCGGGGGGCGATGCCTGGAAGGAGGCAATGCAGGAGCCCTCTGCCTCCTTCCCCCTCCCCGCCCCGGCCCAAAGGGGCGTGCTGCCAGCTGCTTCAGAGAGCAGCGCGGGGCTCGCAACGACACAGGGGGCAATCCCGCGGATAGGCGGGGGGGGGGGCACGGGGAGCTTGGCAGGCCACACGCAAGAGCCCCGCAGGCCACGTGTTTGAGACCCCTGCTTTAAAACTGAGACTGTGTCCCTTTAAATTTGAATTAAATTAATGCTCTGATGTTTTCGCTACTTCTATTCAGAACCTTGCAGGCAACTGTGAAACTGTCAAGAATCTAGTCAGTTTCATGCTACTACTTGGGAAAGCAATTATTACAAAAAGCAAAATATTACAGCAACCCTACTACATTAGACACTATACAAATGTAGCATTAGACATGGTCCCTACCCTGAAGAGAAAGTTATTAGCAGCAGTAGCAAGCACTTAAATTATTCTCAGAGGAAAAAGACCCAAACAAGGGAGACTGAGGAAGCAGTAGAGTAGTGGAGATCTCTCATCTTGCAGCAAAGAGGCTCTGGAGAAGGGGTTTAACAGTGGAGACTCCTCCAACAACCTCTAATCTAGCAGAACCCAGAAGGGTCTGAAACAACTAATGAGACAGAAAACTTAATTTCTGCCAGCAGTTAGAAATTCAAATTTACAATATGGCTACGAGCTAAAGGCACGCATGCACACACGCACAATACTAGCCCCAGGCAGGATGTGGGATCAGCACTGTGATAAAAATCCACTTCCTAGCAGCTGGTAGCAGGGGAACTGGACTTCTCACATAGGTGCTGCTTCTGAACACTGATGGGGAAGTAGTCTCTCTTCTCCTACCCCCAAATTTATCGTATCTATCTCTGGATTTGGATGTAAAGCTCTCTAGCTAACATGTATCTGGTACATTTTTCAATATCTAATGATAGGATCTAGGCACAAAATACAAATGTAATACATTTGTCATTACCCATGACTCCTCATTTCAGGTGCTCTGCAACACATCAGTCTCAGGTTCCTCCTAATGCATGGTGATACATTTCCACAGTCAAGCACAGAATACAGACCCTGGACTTCAGAAAAGCAGACTTTGACTCCCTTGGGGAACTGATGGGCAGGATCCCCTGGGAGAACAACATGAGGGGGAAAGGAGTCCAGGAGAGCAGGATGTATTTTAAAGAATCCTTATTGAGGTTGCAGGAACAAACCATCCTGATGTGTAGAAAGAATAGTAAATATGGCAGGCGACCAGCTTGGCTTAACAGTGAAATCCTTGCTGATCTTAAACACAAAAAAGAAGCTTACAAGAAGTGGAAGATTGGACAAATGACTAGGGAGTAGTATAAAAATATTGCTCAGGCATGCAGGAGAGAAATCAGGAAGGCCAAATCACACTTGGAGTTGCAGCTAGCAAGGGATGTTAGGAGTAACAAGAAGGGCTTCTACAAGTACGTTAGCAACAAGGTGGTGGTCAAGGAAAGTGTGGGCCCCTTACTGAATGGGGGAGGTAGGGTAACCAGACGTCCCGATTTTATCGGGACTGTCCCGATATTTGCTTGTTTATCCCACGTCCCGACCAATGTTAGGTCGGGACACTGGACAAACAAGCAAAGGCTCCGGAACCCAGAAGGGCTCGCGCCCCCCGCCACCCCAACTCCGCCCCCCATTGGCTCCCTCCCCAAATCCCCACCTCTTCCCCAAGCTCGCCATTCCTCCTCCCTCCACAAGCGCTGGAGGGAGGCCCCGGAGACGCAGGGGGAGCGCGGGGCCGGGGTGAGTGAGAGTCCGGCCTGGCCCCAAGCGCAGGCAGGACTCAGTTGGGCGGTACCTGGAGGGAGAGTAGGGGGGCGGCCCGCGGGGCAGGCGGCGGCCTGCAGGGCCAGGCAGCAGCTGTTCTCCCCACCTGGGCGGCAGGACTCGGGAGCAGCCGCTGCAGCAGCTCCTACTGCTGCGGCCGGAGGAAGCGGCCATGGCGCTCGGCGGCTGCGGCTCTGGTGCCCGGGCCCGAACCCCCCAAGCCCGGGCCTGCTGCGGGGACCGAGCAGCGCGCACGCTGCGCCCAGTCCCTGGCCAGTCGCGTCTGGG